CCCCCCCCCTGACCATCCCGGCTGGGCCCGGCCCGGCCCGACTCGGCCCCCGCACACCTCCCCTACCTCCGGCCTGCTCCCCCGCAACACCCGCCCCAGCCGCGTCCGGGGGAGCGGGAGTGGGCGCACGGCCCACGCGCCCCTCAAACTTCTTGTAAGTTCACTCCCATGCCTCCCGCCCCTTCGACTCCCAGCTCCCCGGCCGGGAAGGCCCGTGCCCGCCCCGGCCCCTCCCGCCCGGTTACATAAGGTCGCAGAGAAGCCGCCCCCGGCCCGGGCCTGAAGGGAGGGGCCGGAGGGGCTCTCCGGCTCGACGGGCAGCGCCTCCCGAGCCACGCGCCGGGGCTGGACGGACAGAGGGACGGGTGGCGGCGCGGCGCACATAGTCCCGCTCCCCACTCCAGCTCGCATCCCCCACCCACCCACCTGTCTCCGGGACCCACGGGATGGGGGCGGTGGAGGCTGGGGTGAGGATCTCGGACCCTCCGCGCAGCCCTTAACCCACTGGCCACGCTCACCTCGCTCTGAAGGTCAATCTGTCCGCCGCCCGCGCCCCGAGGCTCAGGCAACTTGTCCCAAGTTCGGGTGCCTGGCCCGCGAGCTGCGCCCGCCGCCCGCTCCCGGGCTCCTCCGGCTCCGCGCCACCAGGAGGCCCGCTCTCGTCTGCCCTTCCCGCCTCCGTCGGCCCCGCCGCAGCTCCAACCCCGCGCCGGGAGGGGGCCGAGGGGCGTGGGCCGAGCTGGCATCTGCTGGCTCCCTTCGAGGAGGCAATCGCACGCGCTGCCCCGAATAGCTGCTCGGGGTACAGGGAAGGGGGGAGAAGCGGCACGGACTCCAGGGATGGGGGAAGGCGGCGTGTTTTCCGGGATTCGGGACCGGGACAGGAGGGGGACCCGAGGCGCGGGCGGACAGCTAGGAGCTCTCGGGAAAGCAGAAAGCGGAGCGCGCGGAGAGTGTGCTTTGGGGAGGGGTTCCCTAGGGTGGTGGAATACCGCGAGGGGAGAAAACGACTGCTTCTTCATGAGACCGAGCGGGAGCAAAGGACGGGAAGAGAGGGAGGGATGGTCCTTCCACCCGCCCCCCACCTCCAGCAGCCCAGCCCCCGGGGCGTGGCGCCGCTCCGGCCCTCCCCTCCCC